TGAATTCCGTTACTCCCAACTACCTCAAAATTGTGCTTGCTCATGAAACGGAAAGTTGCGCGAAAGTCCAAGAATAGCACGTAAGGTTCATTTTTACATTATATAGCGATTTTCCAAGCGTAGCTTAGATGTGACACAAGGCCGAAACTAGGTGGCAACGAGTGAGGATCGAACTCACTACTCAGTCGTAACTGTTCTAACGAGGCAGGCTTGTTAACCATTACACCGCATCGAGATGCACCATTTTTGTTTTGTATATGTTTCATTGTATTGTGCTTTCTAGATTTTAATTTTGAGCACCGTGGCCTTTTAATATCCGCAACGAAAATTTTAATTGTATTATTTTAAACATATACACACACACACACACACACACACACACACACACACACACACACACACACACACACATATATATATATATATATATATATATAATAACGTTGAAAGCCTCTGCCTACTCTCGCAATTTTTTCATCAGTTCTAACCTTCATGGCTAAGACCCACCATGCCATGAACATTGAAGGAAATCACCTTTGTATTCCATTTGTGAGATGTAAGAACAGCTGCTTTATGGAGCCTACTCCCAAGAAGATGTTTTCTCCAATCACTGCAGTCTTAACCGATCCAAGTCTAGGGTTAACCGTCATCTTCATCACATGTCCTAATAAACTGTGCCCCTAACTTTTTAACTCTGTAATTCTCTACCACGAGTGTCTCTTGGGCCTTGTAAATATTATGGAAAACTAAAGAAAAATATTTCATACATTTCAGTTAACTGGTTCGAGTTGTTAACAGTAGTTTGTTTGTATCTTTAATTCTCCCTACCCCACCCTCTTATATACTATTTTCAACATTCGTCTGTAGGACGCTTCTTTTGCCGCTTCAATTCTTTTCTTTATTTATGATGAAATTACTCAGCAGTCACTGTCATGAAGAGAAATTAGGCATTACATAACTATCCTGCACTCTTTTCTTCGTTTCTAATGTTATTTTTCTATCACTTAATGCTTTACTTAAATGCAGAAGTAAAAAAAAAAAACTGATTGAGAAAAGCTAAAAAAAGAAAAAAAAATCTTTAACAAACTCTTGTACGCCATAAGGCGGGAAACGGAAGAACAGTGGTAAAGTCAAACGCGTTTACTTTTTGACTCTCCTACAGATTAATTTGTTTTCGGCCCAGGGGACATGGCGTGGCCCGTTTTTATCTGCTACTTTTGACAGCAGATGATCTGGCGAAATGTTTTTATTTAGGAAATGAGGTTACAGCCATAAAACATCTGTTTTATTTCGAAATGTACCAAGAATAACAAGTTCGTTGCTTCTTACGTCGCTTCACATTTTTATTCACGCGGTTCAATTTTCGAAATGAGAAATATTTGAAGAAAACTGACGGCTACATATATCTCTAAGTTACATGCACATCCTACAATAACTGTTGGAAGACTGTGTAGCGTCGATGTCTTGAAACTGGAGGTACTTTCTCCTTTATGCTTTTGTAATGCCATTTGATTAAAATATTATGTCGACATATAATAATTGATGTTTAATACGCATTATCGTCTAAATGATTCACTCTCTTCAAAATAAACCTGCTTTGCACGGAAGTAGAACTCTTCATATCAATGAAAGAATTATAATGTATACCACGAAACGTGACAATCATCTAGGTATAAACAAGGGGGTGCTGAAAAGTTCTCAGCCAGAGTTACTAAACATCAGAACTTTTAAAATTACTTCTTGGTCGGTCCGAGAACTTTACAGCACCTCCTTGGAAAACATTAGGTGTGTGATATAAACTGTAAAAAAAAAAAATAATTAAAATACTAGAAATGAGAGAGAGAGAGAGAGAGAGAGAGAGAGAGACTACTCCCATCTTCTTGGGAGTAGGCTCCACAAAGCATCTGTTCTTACATCTCACCAATGGAATACAAAGGTAATTTTCTCCAATGTTCATGGCATGGTGAGTCTTAGCCAAGAAGGTTAGAACTGATGGAACTAACGAACATTTTCCATGGATAATTGCGAGAGTAGGCAGAGGCTTTCAACGTTATTATATATATATATATGTGTGTGTATGCTTAAAAGCACCTCCTTGGAAAACATTAGGTATGTGATATAAACCGTAAAGAATAATTAAAATACTAGAAATGAGAGAGAGAGAGAGAGAGAGAGAGAGAGAGGATACTGCACTCTGATCATATTTTTACCTATATCTATCACGGCGGTTTAACGTGTACATCTAAGCTAATGACAAAAATAACCCAGTCCCCGCGGTTGCTGTCGTACAGACGTTAGAGTACACCGACTTCAGCAGATTGCGGGAATTTGAAATCCCCGGGTCTATGCCCTCTTCATTGTTTTTCAGAAAAAAAAACAGAACGGCGAACAGATACTATGCTTTGTTCCTAACCCGAAGGTCAGTTAAACGGGCTCTAATTCTGTATTTAACTTAACCTCACATCACATGGAGATAGGATGTGACGTATGGTCAGTTTAACCTACAATGGGGCGATGCAGCCGCAGGATTGGAATCGCCAAGATTAGACGTCTTTCATTGTTTTTCGTGAACGGTTTGAAAGCAGGAACTCGATAAAGAGGATTCAGAACAGATACTACACTTTGTTGCAAACCGGAAATCCGGGGAATGTGCACACTGATGGCATTTGCCTACCCCAACCCTGATTTTAAAATTATTTAAAATTGGTTTGGATAACTTTCAGTGTACAATCTGAATTTTAGACATTAAAGATCATGAAGAAAGGGATTGTCAGTGGTCAGGAAGTGTTATTGACAGAAAACTATTATGAATATAATGTAAATGCGTTAATAACTTTACTATAAAATGTATTTAAAATCAGGAAAAGGGGAATTGTCATTGATCAGGAATTAATATAAACGTTACTGACACAATAGAGCTATTATATGTCTTATTACTAAAAATGGACAGGGAGGATGAAAGTAAATTCAAAGACCTGTAAGTAATAATAAAGAATTATTGCCCACATGTTCTTAAATCAGATATAGTCTCTCATATGGTTTCCATATGGTGTCCAACTCGTTCAGAAATGTCTAAGCTATCATCTATATACAGTCGTTTTCTCAGATCAATGATTAAAAATGCCTTTGAGTGAACGAATCTTGTAGGTCTTAAAGAAAATGACATTTCATATAGACACAAACGAAGAGTTTTACCAAATAACAAAATCCACGTCATTTGAAGATTGCAACAACAACAACAACAATGGGTAGCACATATAACCAGAAGAGAAAATAATGATATAAACAAGATGTTGACTTTCTACACTAACTTAAACAAATGGTTTGCAAGGAAACTCCCATTAAAAAGAGCTATAACGGTGAAATTGAGAAATCAAATTATCTTAAATAAAACTGTTTTAAGAAAAAGATATTATAAATTTCAATCATTTACTATTCAATTGATTGATTCGTTTTTTTACGGCTTGTCAACCATTTGCAGGTTATTTAAAGTCAGAAAATATTTCTAGATTTTAAGAACTATCTTTGAGATAATAATGATTTAGTGATATAAGTCTTACTAATTAACCCATAGCTGGGGGAGAAGAGGTGGATTTATACCTTTCCCAAGGGTATTTGCGTGTAAGTGAATATAATCAACTGAACAGGAATTGGAACTCAGCTCTCGATTTAACAATTCCAAACCATTTTCCATTACACCACCTGCACATCCAGGCTTACAACACCTGGTATTTCCATAGCGGTCGTTATTAGTCAATGAATGCCGAATGTTTCTTATATGGTAATAGCTAACTTCACCATTATCATGATCATTGCATATGATACCAAAATAACGTATTGCATTATTCTAATGGTATTTTGACCGACTATAGATTTAAAGTACAAATTTGAAGTTTACTACTCGAATTTTTTACTTTTATCTCTTCGATATTGTAATTTAGAAAAATAATGACTTGAAGTTAATTTTTAACTAAGAATAAAAAAAGTTACTTCAGTATTCTTTTGTATCGAAATTCTACCAAGATCGAGTGTTAATTATTAGAAACGACAAAATAATTGCAAAAGCCCAACTGTGATGTTTTCTTTATTAAAGACGTTTTATGTAAGACTAGCAGTAGATCCCGGCGTTGCCCGGGGATGTAACAGTAAGATATAGATCAGGTATCGACGATCATAAAGACTGAAAAATAAAATTGACAAAGATTATTGTTTAAGGTTGACGGACACGCATGTCTTAATTAGTTTTATTTTTATTTTATTTTTTTTTTTACGAATTGGTCAAACCCAAACTCAAACAAAAACATTGTTTTCAATCGTTATGAGTCTATCGATTGAATAGAATTTTATTATAAACAATTGTCTTGTAAATGGAATTTTTAAAGCATTCTGAATGTAAAAATAAAGAAAAAGTGTGCAAGACAATAAGAAACACTACCTGCCAAAAAAAGTTTTGTTGAAATCGGTTGAAAAATGTAGGAAATCCGATCCCATATATAAACGAACACACACACACAACCTGGGTTTTATAATAAGTATAACTCGATATGAGTTGTCCCCCTTTCATTCTGGCGACAGAATCCTGTTTTAAGGGTTTTCAAATTGATTTCGTGCAAAAACAATTGTGTTTTTTCAATTTCTGGAGCTGTCAGAACCACCGCAAGATAATTTTATGCAGTCCTGTGAAGTTTTGTTGAAATCGGTTGAAAAATGTAGGAAATCCAATCCAATATATAAACGTACAGACACACACACACACACACACACACACACACACACACACACACACACACACACACACACACAAACACACACACACACACACACACACACACAATCTGCGTTTTATAATAAGTAAGATAACAAGAAGACAACTGAACTTACCTGGCGATGTTAATATCGTGAATTTACTTTCTGCTAAACTCTCCATGGAATTTCGAGTTGATTGAAAGTCAAATAAATCTGAGAAATGTTCGGTTAGCCACAGCAACCTCTGCTATTACCAACATTTCTGAAGGATAAAAGCTCGACATTGACCCTTAAATAAAAAGAAAAGAAAAGAAAAGAAAATGTAAAAATAATGAAAGAATATTCAGTATCATAATTAGTACATTACGATCCCCCTACTTTTTATATTTTTTTTTTAAACTTTCTAGGGCTTTTGTAGTAAATCAATTTGTACAGTAATGTCTGAGCATTTGTTACCTTTTAAAAAACGAACTGAGAGAGGTGGGAGCAAAAAGACTCATAAATTAATATAGAAATTTTTCAGTTACAAAGTCATTTGTGGTTATCTCCCTTGACAGTAGATATTGTGATTAGCATGAATCTATTACTTGGGGGGAAAAGCCAAATTCATATTCGAAAGTTTACAGAAAACAATTTGACACACTAAAAGGAAATAATACATAGAGAGTTCATATCGGATAGTTACAGTGAAAGAAAGTACACGAACTAATTCTCCGAACATCTACTTCAATTAACGATAAAAATACACAGCGGGTGATTATCTTATAACTGACAAGCAATGATATTTGCATAATACGTTGTAACATAGTAAAGATTATTTAGAAATAAAATTCTAAAATATTATCTTACAAAATTCTCATTTTATAATTTTGTATAACAGTTTCTTCACGAATTTTGACTAAATTTTTAAACATTCCGTAAATAAAATGCATTCAAAGCATAAGATGGTAATTTTTTTTTTTTATATTATAACATAATTTTCTTTGTAAAAATTTTTCTGGTATACAAGAAATTGTGGCAATGGGAAAAATCAATATCCAAGTATCAAACAACAAGCGCTTTATCGATAAAAGCCACTAAGATGCAAGATGTGAAAGAAGCAGAGGACAATCAAAGGCAGAAGATAACAATTGATATTGCATTTAAATTTTTGAAGATCAAAGTTGACAGGATGGCAGGAAAAGAGTTTGACAAGGGAGAAATGTGAGAGAAGAAACTATTAGCATAGAACTTACGGTTAGAATTAGCAATTTCAACAGTGAACTTCTGAGACTTAACTGCCAGTCTAGTACTGTGCTTAAATTCGTTAAGTCGTGGTGTCAAAGAGTAAAGAACAATTACTGTGAAAACATTTATAGGAAATGCACGGGGACGCTACGTAACGGCGGTGGGAAAGTGGCTGAAGACGAGATGCCAGGTCAAGACCGACAACGTTGCAGATTCTTCTTTGGATTTTTTTTTTCAAGAATCTCTAGATATATAGCAGAAGCACCAGACCAGATGTGGTAGCAACGTTCGATGTACGAACGAATGGTAGACTTGTAAACGTGCAACACAGATTCTGGCGAGAAAAATTGTCTTGTATGACATTGTGAAGCAACTTCCCTAGCAGCAGACTAAGCAATGAATTCAATATAATCGTTCCACTTCATATTAGTGGAAAATGTTAAACCGAGAAAGCGCAGGGTGTTGCTCTCTTCGAGGTTAGCATCAGCCATTCTCATGAAAGATAAAAAAAAGGTCCTTTAAGATGATTAATAGAGAGCAGTTTTGTTTTGGGGCGTTAAAATTAACAAACTGTTTCAACGTTAATAGTAACTGTAGTGGGTTTCACTGCTTACCAGAGATCTTCCGTGTTTGAATCTTGTTTTCAAACCTTTTTTATTAATGGGTCCAATTTTTCTATTGGATTAATATCTGGAGAAGTTAGAGCCCAGTCTATTAATTTGGTGTGTTTTTTTAGATGTATTACTCGCCTTTTTCTACCGAATGCAAGTACACACTGCCCGACCCAGGGATTGAACTCACAATCACTATAGCTGAACAGTAATAAATAAAAATAAAACAATATACCTAGACACTCTACCCCCGTAGAATAAATAAAGGGATCAGTTCAGAATTTTTTGTAGGTTACCTATATCGATATACACCTGAAGAAGGCCGGAAGTCACAACGGCCGGAACGTTGGGATAGCAACAACAAAGATGAGCACAATAGTCCGAACATAAATAGGGTAAATAATATTGCATGTATATACACTTTAGCTTAAAGATTCTTTCTTGTGACCGGTACCACCTTTTTATCTGAAGAACTCACAATAATTTTCTGCCTTTATCTCAATACCGTCATCAATTTGAAAGGGAATTACAATTTTACTACCTACAATACATTATTCAACTCAGCACGGCTGTCTTCGAGGTTAATTGACTATTTCAAGGAAAGACCCAATTTATCGACCAACTACGATGTCTGTTCAATATAGATCTATATTAATTACTATAAATGACTATTATTGATAAATCAGTTTTCAGGTAATTTTACGCTCAACTTACATGTTTTCCCTTGTGGTATTTGTTTAGAGCAGATAGTTTGATTGCTTTCATGTCTTTAGCCAAAGATTATAACATTTTACATCTTTTCTCTCTGTTTATATTTGCAACACAGGGCGCTTTAAATATTTTCTTGCTGGCAAATTTACTTCACTTGCTCATTAGCCTTTTAATTTTTCTCAAATCTCTTTTTGTGACATTCTTAAATTCCTAGTTCTTATCATACCAATTTCATTATAATAAAATTATGTACCTCCAAATATTCGCTAAAAAATGAGCATACCATGGTGAAAAAATTCCCCAAACTTAAAACAAAGTTTTGTCATCTTAATCTGTATGTTATTATTATGAGGAAAGATCAAAGGATTTTTTTTATTATTAAATTATGTTTTTTAATCCTTTTTAGAACATTCAAAATTTTGGTTAAAAATATTGTTTTTCTTGGATCATAAATTAATATGGAAAAATTCTAATGTCTTTTTGTGGTGAAAAATACATTAATTTGGATATTCGTTCAAAAATCGAGATAATTTCATGACTTATTCACAAATAAATTAAATTATTTTAGAAACGATTCTTTTTTTTAGAAAATCTGGATAAAAATATTCTGCTTACATCTGTTACTCACCCCTACACCTTATTTAATTTTAAGAAATTTCGAGAAATTCATTTTTGTACATCTTAATGTTTATTTATTTATTTTGTCAAACAGAAGCTTCGACTAAGATAAAATCTGCTCAGAATCATAAAATAAATGTGTAATAAAACTAAGGCATTATTTAATTAGAAAGGTTTTTAACTGATTTTATGAATAATATATATTATGAACACTATTGCCTTAAGAAAAAATATTTCGATGAATAATGAATTTTTACAAGAACTGTTTTCGTTTCTTAAAAATTTGAATTAGAATAAATTATGAAGTTTTAAATCTATTAATTTTCTTTTATTAATTGGTAGCGGTTGTGATATTGTTAAGTGAAAACTATATTTACTAATCATATATGAAAAAGCTTACTACAATTCAGCGAGCCCCAATATTTTAAAAAGAATTTGGAATTTCTTTTGTGCGCAGATAAACGTGCCGATTTTTATAAATACGGACGTCCATATACGACATTATCAGAAAATAAGAGCAATAACTATAGCAAATTTATTGCTAATTTTATAATATATTATCAGTAAGGATCTGCGTATGTAAGGTTATAAAGCCAAATTACCTAAAATTTAATAAAAGATTAAATTACTAAATTTTATTATTATTGGGTAGCTAAAAAAAATATAAAAATGGCGCTCACGTTATATTCGTCAAATAATTTTTACATTTATTCCTAAACTTAAGTCTTTCGAAATAGTTTTCAACTCCTCATAAAAACATCTAACTCCGTGTTAAAAAGGCATTTGTTTTTGTTTCAAATTAGACTAATTAAACTTTAAATCAATTAATCTTCCTGAAATAAAGTTTCAGAAAAGTATATTTTATTTTTGAAAGATTTTTAATAAAGAGAATCATGTGTTGACAGTTTGGCTAATATGGTTGATTTTTTTAGCAATTTTAACGATTTAAGAAAATATTCCAATCAATTTAAATTCGGATTGAATTACAACAAAGCATTTTGCTTATTGAAAATATTAAATTTAATCTATTAGCTTGAAATTAAAACTAAAATAAAAACTTCAAGAAAGATTTTTCATTTTTAAAAATGAGTTTCTTTTGAGGTGCCCATCTTCAGATTCTTTTTTTTTTTTCATTGTTCTTTGACTTCTGCACGGCTTTTATTCAATTTCCAAAGTTCTGTTCTCGTTACACAGTAACTTTAAGATATATTTTTCACTTGTGTGGTTATATCTTTCTTACGACACATGACAATCTTTATAAATGCCAAATTAAAAAAATAGGCATTTATAACTATGCTATTATATTTCTTTACAAAATGACGAACAACTTTTGATAAGTCTGATATAAGTTTTTTTTTGTCTTTTTTTTTAGGTTCACCTTTTACAAGGCCCGGGGGCCACTCAAGGTAGAGAGTTACATTAGGAGGACATTTGTGCGTATAGGAGTGGAAGATAACGGTTAATCCTAGCTTTGAACAGGTTAAAATTGTAGTGATCGGGGAAACATCCTCTTGGGAGTCGGTTCCCCAGGGCAATTGTTCGCCGGAAGGAGCTGATCGAAAGGACTTACTTCTCACTGATAGAATACGGTTTGCTACAATGTAAGTGGTATGGAGTGTTCTTGCTGTGAAGGTTTGACTTAGCAGGAGCAAGGAATATAGTTTATCCGAGCACTTTCCGTGAAAGTAGCGGTAGAGCAGTGTGAGGCTTGCCACATCCCGCCTGTGGGAGAGAGGGTGGACGATGGAGAAGTAATTATAGATATTTAACATCAAAACATATATTTTAAGCTGAAATTAACATAGTATCTTTACCCTATAAACACAAGCACATCCTGAAAAGCTTACCAACGTCACTCGGTTAATATCATTTTTACTTTTAAGACAATGACATCCATAATTAAATCTCAGGATGCACGCGAGCGTGCACGCGCGTATGTGTGACAATGTGTTCATTTATATATGTAGCTATCAATCTATCTGTGATTCATATATGATTCTCCTTTTAAAACATATGTTTGTACTTCATCCTTTCAAGGCATTCATAATTGCACCCAGCAGCGGACGGCCACACGAAATGAGTGCGTGTCTGTTAACAACTCTAATCTCCAGCGGTAAATTAG